TTTTACAGGTGAGGAAACTGAGGCAAACAGTGTTAAGTAACTTGCCCAAGGTCACACAACTAGTAAATGTTTGAGGCCAGATTTGAACTCAGTAAGAAAAGTCTTCCTGACTCCAGGCTCAGCACTCTATTCACTCTTCCAACTAGCTACCCTATATAAGTGTTAGCTAGAATCATTAATAATAATAAGAATAATTATCCCTAAACATTTTTCTTGGAGTTCAAACTTTAAGAAAACTACTAAAATACCTCAAAGTCTTGGGTTTTAAGCCTCTTTAGAAATAATTCAATTCAAGCTATTCCCCAGTTGATAAATGGTCAAAGGATATGAACAGACAGTTCTCAGATGAAGAAATTAAAGCCATCTATAGTCATATGAAAAAATGCTCTAAATCGTTATTGATTAGAGAAATGCAAATCAAAACAACTCTGAGGTACCACATCACACCTATCAGAGTGGCCAACATGACAAAACAGGAAAATGATAAATGTTGGAGAGGATGTGGGAAAATTGGAACGCTAATACATTGTTGGTGGAGTTGTGAAATGATCCAGCCATTTTGGAGAACAATTTGGAACTATGCCCAAAGGGATACAAAAATGTGCATACCCTTTGACCCAGCAATAGCACTTCTAGGGCTATATCCCAAAGAGATCAAACAAATGGGAAAAGGACCCACATGTACAAAAATATTCATAGCAGCTCTTTTTGTGGGGGCAAAGAATTGGAAATTGAGAGGATGCCCGTCAGTTGGGGAATGGCTGACCAAGCTTTTTTGCCCTGAAGAGAAAAAGTTAAGATACAATTTTTACTTGAGGTAAAAAAGGTCTCTTTTTGTTTTTAAACTGTGAACAAGTTGGAAGGGAACACAGATAAGGGATGGTGGTGGAATCTTTCCCCCAACTTACAGAAATATATGACATTGTAAATTAATTTGAGACTGAATTTATGACTGAAATGTAAGTTCTCTATTGTGAATCCCTAAATTGTGATTCAAATGGGTTTTTTATATAAATGCTGAAATACTCTAGCAAGTTTTGGGTTAACATTATTTACAATTTATTTTAAGAAAATTAAGAGTATTTCCCACTCACCAAAATAACCGATTTATTGTTTTACAGTCAAGAAAGGAAAGCCATTTTTCTGATTAGAGAGAAACTTGTAAGGCATAACAGTAAAATAGAAATCAATTTATTGGTGGAGTTGTGAAATGATCCAACCATTTTGGAGAACAATTTGGAACTATGCCCAAAGGGCTACAAAAATGTGCATACCCTTTGATCCAGCAATAGCACTTCTAGGGCTATATCCCAAAGAGATCAAACAAATGGGGAAAAAACCGACATGTACAAAAATATTCATAGCAGCTCTTTTTGTGGTGGCAAAGAATTGGAAATTGAGAGGATGCCCATCCACTGGGGAATGGCTGAGCAAGTTGTGGTATATGAATGTAATGGAATACTATTGTGCTATAAAGAAATGATGAACAGGCTGACTTCAGAAAAACCTGGGAAGACTTATATGGTCTGATGCTGAGTGAAGTGAGCAGAACCAAGAGGACTTTATACACAATAACAGCCACATTATGTAATGACTAAGAATGTTAAACTGAACCCTTCTCAGCATTATGAGGATCTAAGACATCTCCCGAGGCCTTGGGATGGAAAATGCTGTCCACATCCAAAGAAAGAACTATGGAAGTCGAATCGCTATCACTTATTTTTACCTTCCGTTGAGTTTCGCTTCATCTTTCTGATGGTTCCTCCTATTGGTTTTAATTTGTACTTACAACTTCACTGATGTGAAAATATGTTTAATGGGTATGTAAATGTAAAGCCTATATCAGATTGTGCTCAGTCTTGGGGAGGGTGGGGAGGAGGAAAACGGAGATAAAATTTTCAACTCAAAAGCATATGGAAAAAATAAAAAAAATTTTTTTTAATTCAATTCAAAACATTTATTAAGCATCTACCATGTGCACTGTACTTTAGTTTAAAAAAAAGGCTAGACTAGTGGTGTCAAACTCAAATAGAAACAGGGCTACTAATTTGTATATAAGGAACCTTGCAGGCAGCATATTGACTTAGTTTTAAAATGCGATTTTGTCTTTTGTTGTATTTTTATTTATTTTGTTGCATATTTCCCATTTACATTTTAATCTGATTACTCAGGCTACAAGCAAGCCTTGTGTTTGATACCACTGGTCTAGCCTAACATATTGGTCTCAGTACTTTCAAAGATCACTTTAATTCCTAAACTTCCTTTCTGAGAAAGAGAGAATACTAGGACACAGTATACCTCAACTTTGAATTTCTTGACCACCTAATGACAGGAATTTGAAAATAATGCAAAAATCCACTGTCTTCTTCATTCCCAAGAAAGGGTATGGGGATCTGGGGATTAGGAGAAACCCAAGGTAGATCAGCAAAGCTAAACCCAAAATCAGACAGTTCTCCATGCCAAATTTAGCACTGGGAACATTTTAATCATGGGCAAATTACAGGAATGGTTAAGCAACCCGAAAGTCCAGCAGATGCAGCACTCTCGTGCTAGAACAGAAGACCCATCCAAGTCCACATGAATCCAGTTGCTATGTAATGAAGGTAATTCATATTGAGATGGCACCCAAAAGTTCACAAAAGGCTTCCTCACACTTTATGAGGTAGGTAGTGGAAAAATTATCCTCATTTGACAGATATGGAAATTGAGGCTTAATGAGGTAAAGTGAAGTATCCAAGGTCCCACAACTAGCAAATTACAGAGCCAGGATTCAAATCTAGGTCTTCTGATTTGAAACTCAGTCCTCTTTTCACTATACCAATCTGCAATGAAAAATGCTTTTGAAGGTTTTCTTTTTTAAAAAAATAATTTTTAACAAAAAATTTTTTCCAAACCTTAGGCTGTTTATCCTTTCTTCCAATTTTTGGTACTCAATAAGCCAACAATCTTTTTAAGTTTTAACTTCATTTTGGTAAATAAATGCAAAATGAGCAATTTGGATCCAAATACAATGCCTACCCACCCAAAGACAGAGCTAGGATGCTCAGCCAGAGTAGTAATCCAAAGGCCAATTGGATTTAGTCAGACAACCTGGATTTGAATCCCAGCTGTGCTACTTTACTTGACCTTGGGAAAATCATTTACCTTCTCTGTCCCTTAATGTCCTCTGTAAAATGAGCTCCTGCACTATATGACCTCTAAGTTCCTTTACAGCTCTGTAAGCTATGATCTTATTTTTTCTGTAAGTGAAAAAGAAGGGAATAGCTAGGATTAACACCTGAAGTGCAGTGCAGGAGTAACTGGGACTATCATTCCCCTTGGGAAATCTTATTCCATAGAAATCTCATCTATGTTGAAACAGATGAAAGTTCCTAATTAAATTTGGCAGTTTATGATCACTAAACACATTGAGTAGTTTAAGCCAAAGATCCTCTAGAAAAAGACATCAAAGGATAGGATTTGAATTGGGTCTGACTGGCACCAAGACTCAAGCCAGGAACTGGCAAAAGGAGTTCAGAAAACTTGGGTATCAAACTGGCTTTAAAAGATGCCATGAGAGCCTGCCTTTTAGTTTGGGAACTGCCAACTGGGGTAGAAACACATCTTTTTCTTTCTCTTTTCTTCTCTTCTCTCTTCTCTCTCTCTCCCTCTCCCTCTCCCTCTCTCCCTCCAAAATTCTGGTCATGTTGGAGACTTGAGATCCACATATCTCTCATACACAGAGAAGTCTGACGTGATCAAGGCAAAAGAACCTATTTAAGAATTTCCAGTAATTTGAATTAACAGGTCAATTCAAAGTCTCTTAAGTTTGTCAGTCCCTAATGTTTGGCCAATGAAATATCCGCACCATCACTATGTTTTTCCCATTTAGGGAGGATTCAGTAGTTACAAACTGACCAACAAGACAATCACCAGAAAGAATAAACTGCAGAAAGAGCTAACATCATTGAGAAGCTGGTTGGACAGAGTTCCTTCCACATTCTTGAGATGGATTGACAGGGGAGCATTCGCCACAGTTCTGACAGTCTGCCCTTCTCTCTTTCACAGAAAGACTAAGTAAATTTCTCACATCCCAGTATTCAAGTATTATCTATTATGTTCATTTTTTCTTATACCATAGGGATCACCAGCTTAATGTATTCTCCTTTGTTCTAATTACAAGTCATCCCACCCAAACACTCTTTCATGCATGAAAATAACAGGCTTTGAGGTGACCCTGCTACTCCACTTCCCTTGTCCCTTCTCAGCAAAACGCAATTCTATGAACTGTTGCTTCCAGTTCTGGCTATGGGAAAGAGATGGAGCCTCAAAACCCTACTTTCTAGTGACAGATTCTGTTTCCAAGATCCAAGGAAGTGGGCCTCCCGGAAACATGACTTAACACCTGGTTTGCTATATAAATGAACAGGACTCACTCTCCCTGAAGAATCAACAGCAGTCTTCTGATGTTATAACCCATGTAATAGGCATTATACATCACCCTCAGTGAATGAAGCCTTCTTCATTCTACTGCTTCCCAAAATGATCCATCAGTGTCAGAAGACTTACTGAGCCTATTACAGACTCTCTTATATTAGGAAGCTGAGTTTGCTCCTCAGTTTTTGTTGTTGTTATTGCAAGGCACTCCTCCCCCTCATCAATGCAATCATTCCTTTGTTACTCCTAATACATGTCTGGACAATTAATATCTAGAGGAATAGCAAGCTAACAAAGTTCTTTCCAAAGTTACCCTCCAACAAAATTGTAGTCACTGCATGTTACCCAGCCTACTATTGCCACTAGCACCAAGGGCCCTGAGGGTAAGACAATTTTATCTGCACTGAATAATTCACAATAAATCCACAATTCTGCCCAATCCCCCAACTACCCCATCACCAATAAACATACTCCTTCAGATCAACTTATTCATCTAATAATACATCTCTCCATTCTCCCCTTCCCACCCCAAAGGAGACCACCCCTTGATCCCCCAGTATCCCAGGTTAGAGTATAACACTCACATCGCGGAATCTGTTCCAGTACTTGTCTCTGTCGTATTGGGAGACAGTGCTCAGCCATTTGTCACTGTCCAAGAAATTGCCATTGTTGTGGCCGGTGAGCACCTCCGCGCGTCGACTGTCCACTTGTAGGAAACACCACGCCAGGATCACCATGATGCCAGGCATCTGCAGAGCAAGGGGGGTTACAGGACAGATCAGTGTGCCTTGAGAGATGGGGCACAAGATCCGCATGCCTGTCCCTGACAGTTTATCAATGTGGGGGGGGGATGTTAGGGGTGTTATGGGACAGGTGCTTTATTAAGAGGTACAGACCTTGTTTTGTTATCTGCATGTTTGCGTGTTTGGGGATACCCCATCACAGACCTTGACCTAGGCTGCCGTGTTGGAAGAGAGGTTACACAGAAGTGTGGATTGGGGAAACAGAGTCTACTGTAAGGTAGCAGTCAGATTGAGCTGCAGAGTACACTCGAGTTTGGCCGGGGGGGGGGGGGGCTCTCCCATCCTCTGCGCTTCTAGCAGCTCCCACACTTAGCAGCAGGAGTGCAGCTAGAAAGGTAGAGCCTCTTTGCAGCAGCTTTCCTCATCCGCCCCAGGTGATGTTTGCCTAGTAGTATGACCTGCCCCCTCTACCAGAACGCTCCCCTCCACCTTCCCTACCCCCAGCCAGAAGGAAGTTGGGGATCCCAGAAAGAGCCCAAGTAAGCCAAAATTGCATTATCTAGCGTCTCCAGGGAGCGAAGCTAGGGTGCGAGAACTAAGGGTCACGTACCTTGGGGGGCAGCCCGTGGTGGGGCGGGAGTCCCTGCTTCTTGGCTGCACCTGCTCCAGAGACGATGGCTTCAGCAGCTACGGCTTCAGCCCCAGGTCCGCCTCTGACTCTGGCTCCTGGGTTTGATGATCTCTCGTTCTCTAGCTGGTTCGCCCGCTCTTTCCTTCCCTGGCTGTTCACTGCGCTCCCTCCCTCTGCTTTGTGAGGCCAGCCTGGGTCTGGTACCAGTCTCCTTAGTGCTGCGGAGAGAGCTAGAGGCAACTTCTGGTGCCCCCTGGCGGGCGCGCTGCCGAACAACCCTCTTGGCCCTGGCTCCCTGCTGCCGATTCCCCCAGCTCGTCTCTCCAGCTCCAGGACTCAGATCCGGCGCCGCCAGCGCCACAGCCGCCACAGGCTCGTGAAGCCTGCCAGCCTACAAAGGGGCTGGAAGAGGTGGCCCTGCACATGCTCAGATGGGCCGCTCAGATCTGGGGCTCAAGAGACAGGCAGTGCTTAGAGGCAAGACACGGGTTGTTGGGAGACGGGGAAGAAAAGCGAAGAGAGGAGAGAAAAAAACGCAAGGGAAGATAGGGATGGAAAAGGGTAGATAGAGGTGCTGTGCGCCCACCCCAAATGTTCACAGTAACGCAGCGACCCATATACTCACACACGCCGTCCATTTACACCCACTTCCACCTGACATAGTTAGCCTGCTGGGGCCAGGGTAAAGTGGATCTCTCACTCCCAGACATCCTAATCTGCCTCGTTCTGCAGATGCCTGGTACTGGATAAAGTGACACCCATCACTTGATCTATGAGTAGAAAACCTGGGTTCCAGACCCAATTGTACTTCCTAGTCAAGAGACTTTTGACCTGTCAGCATTTCAGAGCCTCGGTTTCTTGAGCAGGAAAAATGGGAGTAAGAAAATTTACACTGCCTTCCTCAGATTTGCTTCCCCAAGGAATAGAGATAATGGATGCAAAGTAAACCTTAACATATACATATAAATGTGAGTTATTACTGGGACAACAAACACAGAGTGTCTCCTTTAATAGACACCAGGGAGCTTTTCTGTAGTTGTTTTTGGGAGAATGGGGATGATGAATAAGAGCTTGTGTGGACATTTTGTCACTGATTCTGGTTGGCTAAGCACATGGTTGGTAAGAGCCTTTTTTTCTATTTGCTGTGGACAGAATTATGGGTATCTTCAAAAAGGGCTGATTCCGTTTCCACAGTCTCTCAGCTCCATTCCCGTCTTAAAAAGTTCATCGTGTCCTGTGAGAGACTGTTGTTAAGGGGAAAACCCTCAGAGCCTTTTCTCTTTGGGGCTATATACCTCCCTCCCCAAAAAAAAGGGCCACCCTGGCTCTTTTTTTTTTTCATTCTTTTGATCTCGAACCACAAGAGAGCAAGCCCTAGGAATCTGGGAAGTAGAATCCAGGCCCGGTGTTGCAACCAAATGTCCTAAGAAACAGTCGTATTTGAGAGTGACCTTCAGAACACCAGCCTAGCAATAGCTGAAACATTCAGCAGTAATTTTAGTTTTGGTTATCTACATGGTGGGATCATTGCTATGTAGGAATTGAGCTAAATTATGAGCCTAATTCTCCCCCACTCCAGATTTAAGTAGTAAAGGGAGGATTATGCCTCAAGGCATCAGCATAAATGCTTGTACATTTGTTCTTGCTAAATCTTTTAAGAAAATATCCCTCTGTAAAAACTAATCAATGTTAAGTTGTTCAATGGAACTGAGATGCTAGTCACTGGCCGCTAGAAAGAGGGGGGAGGGGGGACGGGGACGGACACAGCTGGTGGGGCTCTAACCACTGGCAGTAGAGAAAAAAGCTCACAAACCCTTTAGGATAACCTGAAGCCCTGAAGGGAAGTGTAGCCTGTATAGCCCTGGAAGAGAGGATCAGAGACTACATGTTTCAGCATGCATGTGACTTTTGCCAATGGCAAGCACATAACCTAACCCCACCCCTCCTTTTACATTTCCACAGTCCTACCAAAAGATTTTATTTGCAAATAAATAGCACTTTCATTTCTGAGAGATCCCTAAGTAAGTTGGATTCTTGCCTCCAACCCCTCCCTTCACCCTCTGTGAAGGCCACAGAGAACCAGAAACTCAAACCAAGTATTAGAGTCTTCTGGTCCCACCTCTTCATTTTCAAACAAGAATACTGTGGTTCAGGAAATGACTGGTTCAAGGTCACATAATGAGCTAAGATTTGATGCTTCTGTGTTAGAAACTAGAGACCAGTGCTGTTTTGGGAGAACCTTGTTTGTGGTATACCCATCTAGGGCAAGCAAAGCATCCTCCCTTGTGGGGGCATAGCATGGATAATCCAAAACACACATGCATATACACACATATATTTACAGATATTTGTATATGTGTGTATGTATAATGTATATCTCTGTAATTATACACATATTACATATAAGTTATGTGCATCTATATTTATTTATATCTGATATATATCTCATAATTATACATATACACAGCTGGCATGTCAATACCATACACACACACACATACATACATATATAGCTAGGTTGTTGGTGAGAGGGAGAAAAAACTTCTCCTTCCCAATTATGTCTTTCTTAGCTCCTGCTAAAATGGACTTACTTTCCTTGAGCAGACTCTGGGAGAAGGGCATCACGGAGCTGGGAAAGCCAGGCTGGAATGAAATGTTGGCTTTGCATAATCCCCAAAGGGAATTTTTAGACTTGGCTACATTTTCCTATAAAGGGAATCTCTGCATTTCCATTCTGGGGTTAGGCATATACCCAGCTGTTTAAACATGCTCATAATCCCAACACCCACTTAAAGATGCCCTTTCCCTTTAAGACATATATATTTTTTTAATTGTTCCCATGAACTTTGCTCACATTCCCTACAAATTAAATGTGTACAAATGCACAAATGGGTCAGGGGATAGATACATATCTTTAAGCATATCTCTGTGGGATCCCACCACAGAATCCTAAATATCAGAGCTTAAAAAATCCTTAGACAATGACAAGCCCAACGTTACAATGAATCAATAAGTATTAAGTGTTTACCAGGCATTGAGCTAAAGAGCTGGATTTACAAAGAAAAGCAAAAACAATGTGTCTTCAACAAGCTTGTATTCTGATGATGGAGACAACATGGAAAGGAACCCATAGAAGGAAGACTATTTACCCAGGATCACACAGCAAATCAGTGGACTAGCTGGGCTTGGGTTAACTCTTTATCTGCCAAGCTGAGCCAAAATCAGGCTCTGAGGTTCTCCTGTGACAAATGAGAAGTCTGGTGGTTTCTTTTCTCACGCCTCGGGGCTATGGTTATCCAGGAGCATGGAGTAGAACTTGGGGTAAGGGACAGGAAAGGAGAGAGGAAGAAAAGGCACAACAGGCTTAGAATTAAGAGGAGAATCTAATCCTCTACTTACTTTTCCTTGCTCAGGGACAACAGTGACTACTAAGCCTTGTAAGAAACTTAAACAAGAAGAAAGATTGAAGGAATAGTAAGGCTAGGGACTGGACCTGTGATTTCATTGATATACTGTGGAATTGAAGGGGAACAGGAGGAGGGCAAAGATTCCTTTATGAATGCAAGTGAGTACTTTCTCTATAACTTATAGTCTTAGAGAGTCACCTAGAACACTGAAGGTTAAATGACTTGTTCTGGGTTTCACTGCCAATGTGTGTCAGTGCCTGGAACTTGAACCCAAATCTTCCCGGCTTCAAGACCACCAGAAGCAGTGCTATCACTACCATTTAAGTCATGCTTTAAGCTTTGTGAAGTATTTATCTCAGTCATCTAGTCCTGGCCCCTGTTTCTTAGACAGGTTCACACCCAAACCATGGTGCAGAGAAATAAAGAAAACATCTTTGTATAATTTCTCATTCACTTCCTGGCATACTCCTCATATCCAGAGAAAGTGAGGAAGGTCTCCAGCACACTGAGTGAGTGCCTTTGGTGAATTTATGAAAGAGTATAGACAAGAGTTGCACAGAATGGACAGGCAGTGGATAACCTATCACTATTATATTGATCATACTTCATATATATATATATATATATCATATATCTATGACCTCATAGATTTGCATATGCAATGTTGATAATCCTCTGTCCTGTCTAATCTCACCTAACTAACTCCCTTTTACCAGAGTGTTCCTTGGCTTACTATATTTCTCCCCAGTTTCAGCCCACTTACCTTTCTCCAAGCTCCCCTTTGTAAACTAGGCTACAACCAA